GGGGCAGGCGCAGCCCCCGCCAGAGACAAAATACACAAAAAAAAAAAAAAAAAAGCTTGTGCGGTGGAGCCACTGCAAAGGAGCAAGACCTCCCCTGGTCTGGGAAATTGACTGACGGCTGAATCCAGGTGTAGCTAGCTCGCCATTTACTAGCTGGCTACCTAAGCCAGGACACCCAGAGCCCTGTCGGCGTTCTCAGCCAGTTTAGCGCCCGAGACCCCTTTAAGCCAGCGCTGTACGACATCTGGCAGAAGTGCCGTAAAAGGGGGTGGAGCCGTGGAGCAGCGGAAGTCGGAAGCAGGAAGTTGCCGCCAGAGCTGCGCGTGGTTGCGATGGCGGCCAGCGGGGCTGTGGAACCGGGCTCCTCCGGGGCTGCGGCCGCGTCCTCGCCCGGTCCTGCCAGGCCGCCCGCCCCGGGACACTTGTTCCGGCCCATCAGCGCCGAGGACGAAGAGCAGCAGCCCACTGAGATCGAGTCGCTGTGCATGAACTGTTACCGCAACGTGAGGCGCGGGCGCGGTCGGCGGGAGGGCCGGGCTTAGGCGGAGGGAGCCAAGGGTTGGACCGTCTGCCCGAGCCCAGTTGGGAACCCTGGGCGCGCCTGAGGTTTGTGGGGAACAGGAGTTTCATTGGTTCTTTCCTTTGCTGCCTCCTGCTTTCCCAGGGCATGACCCGTCTTCTGCTAACCAAGATTCCCTTCTTCAGAGAAATAATCGTGAGCTCCTTCTCCTGTGAGCACTGTGGCTGGACCAACACGGAGATCCAGTCTGCAGGCAGGATCCAGGACCAGGGAGTGCGCTACACCCTGAGTGTCAGGGCGCTGGAGGTGAGAAGAGCCCAGAGTAGGCAACCCATTCCCTCCAGGATGCTGGGAAGAGCTTGGAGACGGAGTCAGAGCTCTGGTCCTGGACAGTCTGGTCTGGAATAAATGCCTGTGTCTCCAAGCCTTAGATATCTCTTTTGTAAAATGATGTTGGTGCTGTCATCTGCTCAAGTGTGATGCAGTTTGTGAAAGTTCTTGTAAATTTTGTCACCGGGTATAAAACAAGCAGTCGCTGTTAGAATACAGGTATTCTCATCATTTGGGCAGCCTGGCTCACACCTCCTGCACGATTCTGAAAGAGTGGAGAGAGAGAAACAGCTGGGCCGGGTTCAGATGGAAGGGGACAGTGTGGTTATTTCCTGAGGAAAGCTGTCTTTCTGACCTCTTTGGACTGAAAGTTTTCCTTTCTGCCCAGGACATGAATAGAGAAGTGGTGAAGACTGACTCTGCCACCACAAGGATCCCTGAACTGGATTTTGAAATTCCTGCCTTCAGCCAGAAGGGAGGTGAGCTTAAGATCAGGGTATTTGGGGGACCAGCAGATGGCATAATGGTTTAGTCATTGGACTCCCACATAGTTGAGTCCTGACCGAGCGGCATAAAATTCATGCCAGGTGCATGTGCGTGCGTGTGTGCTCAAAATCCCAAGAGGCGAATGGAGGAGAAAGGATTGTGACAGGTCCGTCCCGCTGGAGGGTGATTTCTCGCTTTCTGTCTCTGTCTCTACGGTGAGCACATGCACCTTATAGCAAAAACCTCTCTTAAAAAATTAAATGAATAAAAAGAGATCAGGGTATTTGGATTGTTTACAAGTAGCTAAAATCTTATCTTCTCGCTTACAAAACCTCTGGTGCCAGATCTAGTGGTTCATTTTGCATTTGGCCCTGCGACCATTACAACGTTATCTGTTGGTTTAACGTGAGTTGGAAGCCTGGATAAAACAGCTTGAGGTAGTAGAAAGTAATAGTAAGACTGTGATGTGCCCATTACAAAATTTTAGTAGCCCTGTTATCCAAACTAAGTAGAATCTTGTGCCAGGCCTTCTCATTTTACGGGTAGGGAGATCAACAGAGCATTCACATGAATTGCTGGGGGGTGTACAGACACTTAAAAGCAGAATTAAGACTCAGTTGTCTTTTGTTCTTGTTCACAAGCTCTGACCACTGTTGAAGGTTTGATCAACCGAGCCATCTCTGGCCTGGAGCAGGACCAGCCCACACGAAGGGTGAGCTGAGGTTTTCTGGTTGCAGACCACATGTTGGAGGACTTTACGGGAAAGTATGTGGTGGTGCTGTAGCTGCATGTGTTATTTATAGTCCTTTCCACTTCCTTCCCTGTACGTAGCGTCACCTTACCTTTGACGAGTTTTTCCTAATCCCCTTAGGTTATCTATTGCTTCCTGAGGATTCCATTATATTTTCCATTTGTTATGACAGAGATAATATATTATAATTGCATTTGTAGTCATCTTTCTTCCTAGTTGGCTAAGAGCCCTCACCGAGGACTCCGTTTTATTTACTGGTTTATTCCTAACCTGGGTAAATGACTGGGCCAAATGGTTGAGAGATTGACAGTGGGGCTCACTTGATACCACTGTAAACGCAGACTTGTTTGTTACACCTTATTTGGAGTCTGAGTTACTCTATTCCCACTAAGACAGATGTTGACCTCCTGATGGAAGTGACACGAGCATGTGTTGGGGCAGGAGGTGTACACCAGGACTAATGCTTTTACTTTCTGTTTATGGCAGGCAAAGGAAGAAGCCGTGGCTGAAAGAATCGATGAGTTCATTGTCAAACTGAAGGAACTAAAGCAAGTGTCCTCCCCTTTCACTCTGGTGAGCGTTGAGGGACTGTAGTTGCTCTCAGTGCAAGGGGGAGAGACTGTTAAGACTGGCTGGGATTTTTTCCATTGTGGTGCATGCGTGGCCAGATGATAGGTAGAGGATCATATGTGATTCACACTGCAGTAATTGTCTGTCCATCTATCCATTAGATCATTGATGATCCCTCAGGGAACAGCTTTGTGGAAAACCCACACGCTCCCCGGAAAGATGATGCCCTGGTGATCACACACTACAACCGGACGCTAAAACAGGAACAGATGCTAGGGCTCCAAGTAAGTGAACTGAAGGAGCCAGAAGACTGTTCTGGAACTCCCTTGCCCTCTGGATTACTTAGAGTTAGAGCAGACTTTGCTGCAGTTGCCGAGTGCCCCATCATGGTTGTGCTTCTCATCTAGCTTGTGTTTGTGTTGAAGATACACTTCATAGAAAGGAGCCCTAATCTTCCGTCAGTTGTGACTTCACTTTCTTACTTCTCTGTCCAAACTAGAGGTGGTACCTGACATAAGTGAACCAGAACATTTTCTCCCACTCCAGGGCAGGGCGTTGGGGAGGCTGAGGTATACCTACCTGTTTACGGTTCACCTCTCTTCTATTTTAGGCAGAAACAGCGGAAGAGAATCCAGGAGAGGAAGACCTCAGAAATGAAGTGAGTCCTATTAACTGCTCTTGAGGAAGAAGCAGAGTTGGGACTGAGGCTGATACTGCTCAGTGCCTTTTCATCACCACTGACGTGGGTGGCCACCAGCCTACCGTGTGAATGTTCTGAGCCTAAGCATCCCACCGGGACGGCTCACTCTGTGTCCCCATCTTATGTTCCAGGTGCTGCAGTTCAATACAAACTGCCCAGAATGCAATGCCCCGGCTCAGACCAACATGAAGCTAGTGCGTATCTTTTGTCAAGCAGTTGGGTTGCTCTTCGTCTGACTCAGGCATGAAGATTATGTTCAGGCTGTGAGAATCCCTTCAGGGAAAGCATATGCTTTATTCCCAGGAATGAGGAAGCCATTGTCTTTGACCTTGGGTCTGGGTTTGAAGAGGAATTTAGGCCCATGATCTTGAGGCTCCCATATGGCTGGAGCCATGTCTTCAAACATTTTTGGAAAGTGCTTACATTGGATTGGAAACTTAACCCTTCTGGAGGATTTTCAGTGTTAGGCCTCCTTTCGTGATGTGTCTCTTGCCATCCTGAGGCCAGCATCTTTTTGTGTGGGGTTTGGCTTTGTTTTTCTTCAGAGGACAGTCTTTCTTTGAAAAACAGATTTCCTTAATTCCATCTTCCAGAAATCCCCCACTTTAAGGAGGTTATCATTATGGCTACCAACTGTGAGAACTGTGGGCATCGGACCAATGAGGTGAGTGGACTGGCTTAAGAATAACCTTTTATTCTTTCTAAACCCACTGCTTCAAGAAGGGAGTAGGCACATTGGATCTCTTTGAGGGTAGGGTGAGAATCTCTTGAAGGAATTGGGAATTAGCCTAGAGAAGAAATGTTAGAAATACCATAAATTTGTTTGACGTGAAAGGTTATATAGAAGACATTTGACCCATTCCTCAAAGAGGTGGATGTTTAGGGAGGCAGATTGCAGCTCCATAAGGGAGAGCTGAATAAAGCTGTCTGGAAATAGAATGAACTGCTTTGGAGGATTGTAGGATCCCCCTCCTTGAATGTATTTGAGCAGAAGCTAATTAAATTTGTAAATCAGAGCATTTTAGACAGGATCCACATATTGGGTGCAAGAAGAAATACTTAAAAGTCTCTTTCACCCCTATGGGTTAGATTTTTTTGAAGGTAAAGGTAGAGTTTCTTGGTAATTATGGATACGTTTTGGCTACTGGTGCTGGCACTTTGCTCCTGGCCAGCTCTTGGTGTTTTGGTTTTGGTGAAAGCTACTGTCCTTGGTAGCCATTGGGCCTAACTGGAGGCCCAAGCCTATGCTTTGTGGTCCCCGTGGCACCAGGTGAGGCTTGGGTCTTCTCTCTGCAGCTGCCCCTAACTGTTGTCTGTGCAGGTGAAATCTGGAGGAGCAGTAGAGCCCTTGGGCACCAAGATCACCCTGCACATCACGGATCCCTCAGATATGACCAGAGACCTCCTCAAGGTAACAACCTGCTTGGGCAAGTGACTGTCCTCATAGGGCTGTCTTTACCTAGGGGGAATTGTCTTTATAAGTACTGTGCAGGGACTCAAGGCACCTTCTTACTTTCCTGGGTTTGAGGGTCTCTGAGTACGTTCCATTCATGGTTGGCACTGTAGGTACAGAGACCACGCATAAACTTTTTTTGATGACTTGGCAGCTTTTAGACTTTCAGTGTCAATATCTCTCTTGGACCTCTAATGGTAGGATGCTGATGCCTTGAATCTATGACTCAGTTCCCTTTAAGTTGGTTCCATTTCTGTGATTCAGATGGGTAGGCATGAGTTTCCAGACTTAACTGGAGAGTCAGGAAACTGGGACAGCTGACTGTTCCCAAGCTGTCACTGGTGGTATTAATTTGGCAAGAGGTTTCTGGTTGCCTTTCTTTACTCCTGATTTAAAATGTAATGGCCCCCTCCTTTCCTAGTCTGAGACATGTAGTGTGGAGATACCAGAGCTTGACTTTGAACTGGGAATGGCTGTCCTCGGGGGCAAGTTCACCACACTGGAGGGGCTGCTGAAGGACATTCGGGAGCTGGTGAGTCACCCGAGTATAGTGTATGCTTTTCTCAGCATTTCATTTGGGAAAGGGGTTGGAAGACATCAAACATTCTAATCCTTGGTGCTGATAACTAGAGCTTTCTTTTCCTTAAAGCTGGTTTAGGAGATTTAAATATTATTTGAATTATGAAGCTAAGTTTATGGGAAATTTTGAAAGGAATTCCTAGGTCTGGCTCCATGATAATGTAGTTGTTTGTGGTCTTGGGTAATTTATTACACTGTAAGGTGAGGATATGAACGTCCTCCCAGCACCTAAATCTCCCCAATCCACATATAGGTGTCTGATGACTTACCCATCTGTTATCTTCTTGATTAATCATCTCACTTAATTGGTTTTTATTTGGGCATTTTGTCTTTGTAAACTACTTTTTTTTCCCACATTTTCCAAACTAGGATTAGAGATCATACCATAAGAACATTTTTCTGTATACTGTTTCACATGGCCAGCTGCCATCTTGGCAGATTGGTCCCATAGACTCCTAGGAGTGGCCACCCAGGTCACTGGGCTACATAGAGGCCAGGCTCCCCTGACTGGGCACCCACTGCCACCTCTACATGGTTTATGGCAAGAGCCCAACAAACATCAAGCCAGTAAGCTAGCAGTTGGGATCCCATTTGTTGCAGGTGACCAAGAACCCTTTCACACTGGGCGACAGTTCAAATCCTGGCCAGACGGAGAAGCTGCAGGAGTTTAGCCGGAAGTTGGACCAGGTGAGAGGACACTGGGGCCCTGGGGATCCTGTTTACAAGAGGCTGTGTACCATCGCTTTCCACCCTCAGAACAGCTGACCATCATGTTGGGGTTCTTGGTTTCTGATGTCCCACGTTGTCTTCTTTCTTGGTTTTCTTTCTTGTTTTGTTCGAATATCTTCTCCAGTAGCTTCTTGAGAAAGAAAGCATAGGAAATAAAATTTCTGGGACCTTCCATGTCTGAAAATTTCTTTATCCTATCCTTACACTAGATTGCAAATAGAATTCTAGGACATATTCTAGAAATATTTTTTCATCTGAACTTTAAAGGCAGTGCACTACTGTGCGTTTTCAGTTTGGCTATTAAGTCTGAAGCACCAGGGTGACTCCTGACCCGAGTCAGGTATGTGACCTGATCTTGTCTTTTTTTTTTTTTTTTTTTTCTGTGATATATTTCAGGATGTGAGTTGGCATGGGTCAGTTTTCAAAATGTGCCCTTGTGGGTCTTTCAGTGTGGAAAACTTAGTTTATCTGAGTTACATTAGATACTTAGATAATTCAGTTTTGGAAAGCTTTTGTGAAGTATTCTATGGGAGATTGTGTCTTCTCTGTTTTCTTTTCTCTGAAACGCTTGGGTTTTAGATATGAAAGTTATTTCTCTGGTCTCTGCTATTTAATTTTTTTGTTCTGTTTTTAGTTTCTCTGTGTTTTGCTCTATTGTGGGAGATTCCTTTAAATTTATTTTCCAACCTTTCAGTTGAGTTTGATTTCCACTAGCATCTTTAATCTTCCATGAGTTTTGAACTTTGATTACTTTTCCTTTTTTTTTTTTTTTTTTCCTCCCCAAAATGTCGTATTTTTTTGGGCCAGCAGTTCTCATGGTGGTTGGGGTGCTAGACTTCACGTGGCCAACTGTAGTTTGAATCCCGGACCTGGCGGCATGCTTTCTTGTCTTCTTACTCTTGCTCTGATGAGTTCATGTGTCCTATAGCAAATGAAAAAATAATAATAAAATTAAATAGATCTTTTAAAAACATACAGTTTAAAAAAACTTTTTTTTAGAATGTTGATACTGGTTTTATTGATCTTTTTTAGCTGCCAGAGGGTGTATGGACTTACCAGAGAGAGGGGAAGAAGCACCCCTCAGTGGACGTTAGTCCCATTGTAGTTCCTTCTCCCCTACATCCTGTTGGAGTTTTGGGCACACACTCCTGTGTAGCATGTTTTTTAAGCTCCCATGGGATCTGGCTCCCTTAACCACTAGGAAACAGGGCCGGTCCAGTTTTTTTTTTTTTTTTTTTTTAAGAATTATTTAACTTTATTTTATTTATTCATTCATTTATTTTAATTTGATCAGAGAGAGAGGGAGACAGAGAGAGAGAGAGAGAGAGGGAAAGTGAGAAAGCAAGCTACCAGGTCCAGGACTTGAACCACGGTCAGCCATGTGGGGGTGTCCAGCACCTTAACCACCATATGTCGCTGTGGTCCCCGAGTTTTTTTGTTCTTTTAATTCTCCTTGCATGGTTTCCATTTTCTCTTAAGTTATTTGTCTCTTCCCCTTTTAATTGATTTCTGTCTTTTAGTGCTAGGGGCTTTACTCAAATGTCTGATCATCATTATGTGCTTATAAGTAGAGGACTGAAAGCCTGAGTAGGAGTGGATCTTACAACTTGAGGTTCTTTGTAGAGGCATTTAGTTTAGGCATTTTGTTGAAATAGCTCTCAGTGGCAGCACTGTCACGCCTTTCCTCCTGAGCTGGTTGGGTTCCTGGCCAGATTCTTGTCATTGGCTGTTCTATTTCCTGGCCTGGGGGTACACAGAGCCTTGGCTGTCAGTGTTCTGAGAGCTGAGTGGGAAGGGAGCTGGGCTGTGTATATGTCTGTTTCCATTAAGCACACGTGTACTTAAGCCTCCGTGTTCTTGATTTCTTTCCCTCTGTCCTCAGCTGGGCCAGGGCCCCCAGTCCATAGTGTGCTCTGTAACTTTTCCAGAGGAACAAAAAATTTGTCCATTGGAGTGGGATGAGATTGGAAATGTCAGATTGCTTCTTAAATAGCTTTCAAACAGTCCTTGTTTTAGATCCTTGCTGCTTGACTTGTAGAGGTATCTGATTTCACCGTTGTTTGAACTTTCAGGGATTCTGAATATAAAGTGGGTTGGCTCTCCTTGGCAGACTTTGCCTCTTCCTGTCAGGAGCTATGAACAGTTTACCTGCTCTCTTCTCTCCTTAGATCATCGAGGGTAACATGAAGGCCCACTTCATTCTGAATGATCCAGCAGGAAACAGTTACTTGCAGGTACAGCAGACCTCAGGGGCATTCTCTGATCTTCCTGAGTAATGTCTCATTGCCTCGTAAACTAAAAGACTTGATTCTAAGTGGACAGCTCTTTACCAGGGAACTTCTGGCAGAAGTCAGAAGATAAAGTAGAAGGGGGAAAGTGGAGGGATTGTAAGTGTAGGTAAACAGAACGAAAGGATGCTGTTGGACTCCTTCTCATAGTCTAGCTCTTGTCCCCAGCTCTGTAGTCTTCATTTTGCAAATCTGATTGTGGAGTGAGGAGAGATAGTACCATGTCTAGAGGCTGAGACAGGAAAACTGAGAGACTTTAAACTGACTGGGGAAAAAGTCTGGTGATTGATGTAATTTAACATTTTTTGGGTATTTACTAGAGATTAGGCAAAACTGTTCTAAGTACTTTCTGTGATTAAGTAAAACCATTGTGGGACCAGCAGTTGGCGTAATGGCTATGTCGCTGGACTCCCACGTAGTCAACCATGGTTCAAGTCCTGGACCTAGTGGCTTAAAACTCACGTTGGGTGCGTGTGCGTGCGTGCCCAAGATCCCAAGAGGGGAATGGAGGAGAAGGGATTGCGGTGTGACCATCCCCCCTGGGGGGGTGATTTCTCACTTTCTGTCTTTCTGGCGAGTGCACAAGCCGTACAGCAAAGACCTCTCAAAAAAAACAAAAAAAACCAAAAAAACCCAAAAAAGACAGACCACTGTCAGATTTTTCAGAAGGCAGAGACAGTGTTTTAGGCAGGCTTTCCCTTGTTCTGTCTGGGGTTGGGCTCACTTGGACTCTGTTGCTGTCCACTAGTTCGGTTTAGCTATGGGGAATTGGAGGTCTTTAAGAAGGGAATAAAAACTTGTAAGTTCTTGGGGAAAAAGGGAGTTAGAAGCCACCTATAGGGAGGGGAGCAGCAACATGCACAGGCACTGATCACCTGTTCTTGGCCTTGCAGAATGTGTACGCACCTGAGGAGGATCCCGAGATGAAGGTGGAGCGCTATGAGCGCACCTTTGACCAAAACGAGGAGCTGGGGCTCAATGACATGAAGACAGAGGGCTACGAGGCAGGCCTGGCCCCGCAGCGGTAGCGGTGGGCACTTCACAGGCCAGCCTCCAGTGCTGCCCATGCTGCAGGGCTATTTATTACTGTTGGACTAAGGCTGGAATGTCCTTCCCACCAGGTCTTGTGCACAGCGGGCAGGACACCTGGGCTGAGTGAGATCTGGGCACACTTTCTAAACAGCCGTGATGCAAGTGCAAGCCTGTTGTATTATTTGACTTTATTTTGAGGTTTTGACTTGACCTGGCAAGAAACCCGGGAAGGAACCATGGGGCACGTTATCATCACTGCTTTCCTACCTGCCACCCACAGAATGCTGTGTCCTTAAGCTTGGACTTCTGAAGTGGGTGAAGGTGGAAGACAGTTACAGCTGGAGTTTGAGAGTTGGTTTTGTATTTACACTGACTTCCATCAGAAAAGGAGTCTTGAGGGGAGGAAGTGCAGCAGGGTGAAGCAGCCGTCATTAAAATGGCTTTCCAACAGCATTGGCCTCTATTCAGTCTGTCCTTTGATATCAGGCTTTCAGAATTCTAGTTTCCTCCAGTGTCGCTGCTGACTGTAATTTGGGGATTGGAGCTGGCGTTTAGGTCATTCCTTTGATGGATGCTGGCTTTCCTGCTTTATGAACAGGCAAAATCTCTGCTTTCATGGATCTGAATGTCTGGTAGGAAAAATTGACAACAGACAAGGACAAGCAGTGTGTCAGATGGTGCTTAGTGTTAAGGAGGGATGCAGAGTAGGAAGGCTTGTGGGAGTGTGAGGGAAGTTGGGGCTGTTTCAAATGGAGTGGTCAGGGAAGATCCCCACAAGAAGAGGATAGTTTGACATTTAGGCAGAGCTGAGAAGGAGGTAAGGGGGTGAGTCCTGTGGGTTACTGGGGAAGAGGTTTCTGGGCAGAGGGAACTGCAAAAGCAGAAGCTGAGATTGGAGGATTACTAGAGCTGGTAGGGATTTGAGATCAGCTAGTCTTAATCAATTACAGATGGGGACACAGGGCCAAGCAGAGGGAAGGGCCTGCCTACAGTTGGTTGAGTGGGAGGTTAAGGACCCAGTGAGCCACCCAGGGCCCTGTACTCCCTAGTCAGTGCTCTTTGCAGCATGGTCCATTGCCAAATGAACAAATAACGATTAGTGTGGTGTTGGCTGCAGGCAATTTGTTCGATAAAGAAAAATTGAGATACTATTTACAAATAGTACTATGTTGTGTTACAAACTTACAACTGCTTAGTTATAGGTGGCTTAGTAATCAAATATCTCACAGCTGTCTTCAAAAGTCACAAGTTACATAGGGCCGACAGGTGGCGTGGTGGTTGGAGTGGCTGGACTCCGACATGGCTGACCACGGCTCAAGTCCTGGACCTGGTGGCTTTCTCTCTCTCTCTCTCTCTCTGTGTCTTACTCTAGTCAAATTAAAATATAACAACAATGATAAATAAAATAGAAGAATTTTATAAAAGTCCTAAGTTATCTTCCGCTTTCCAGGTCTTCTTATTCTCTATTTCTGTCCCATTTGACAGTGGACCATCTCTTCTCAACCTTTCTCTTGGTTCTTGTGAAACCGTACTCCTGATTCTCCCTTTACTTCAATATTTCTTATTTGGAAATTCATTTTCTCTTTTCCTTAAATATATTTGTTTCCAAAGGTTCTGCTTTGTCTCCCCTCCCCTCCCCTGCCCCATTGGATTCTTTGGCATCTTACTGTCATATGGGACTAATTCCCATACCTGTATGATTTTTGCCAGCGAGGGCAAGAGTGTTTAAAGATTTGGAGACTGGCAAACGACTCACACAGACTCACACAGACTAAAGCCACAAGACTCTGAATAGACTTCCGATGTGCAAGTTTTCTAAGAGATTGTCTGAGGATGTGTTTCCAACTGGCTTGGTAATCTCAGTCTGTCAGGCAACCTGATCTCCCATTTGGTCTCGAGTTGACTTCTTTTGGGAGATAAGTGGGTTCTGGGAAGAGGGACCTTGATGTTAGGTTCGTTGTGAAGGAAAAACTGGCAGTCTGGTTTATTACTGATTCTTTGGTGAATTTGGTTGGTGGGAGGCAGTTCCACAGGCTCTAACCCTTTCCGAGGCAATGATAGCTGGAGTTTCTGAACCTGGACAGGCTAAGGATCATGTGCCAGACTCGAGTAATCCTGCTAAGGTACTTGCGCTTTGTCAGGGTTGGCCTGGCCAGCCTTCAGTTTCCCATCATTTGCTTGAAGTATCTCTCCACTAAAATTCTCTCGTTTCAAAAGCTGCTGGGATGGGTTTGCTTCTTACCTGCATCTTGCCCCACAGCACTAGCATATGGCATGTGGTGGGTAAAATCTGTTGTAAGATAGGCATCCACCATTGCTTGTGGCATCACCGTCCTAGATGAGCCCACTTAGGGCATGGAAGATAACACGTAAGCATTAAGATAGGGGAAAGGGGGGCCATCAGATGGCATGATGGTTATGTTGCTTGACTCCCACATAGTTGACCATGGTTTGAGTCCCAGACCCGGCAACTTAAAACTCATGTGTGTGTGGGTGCCCAAGATCCCGAGAGGAGACTGGAGAAGGGATTGCAACATGGCCATTCTCCCCGGGGATGAGAATGGAGAAGGGATTGCGGCATGGCTAACCCCCACCCCCACCCCCGGAGACATCTCGCTTTCTGTCTCTGTCTTTCGGTGAGTGTGTGCTCTCTATAGCAAAAACTTACTAAAAAAAAAGATACAGAAAAGGTTCTCTGAGGCCAGGGGAGGTGAGACTGTCAGCTTGTGAACATGTAGATTCAGTTTCACAGCCATGAGAATAAAATTTAAAACAAAAAGTTATTTATTTTTAACTTGATCAGAGAGAGAGAGAGAAAGAGACACAGCAAGCTGTCAGGTCCTGGACTAGCACTGCGGTTGGCTATATGGGAGTGTTCACCATGCCACCTGCCGGCCCTGAGAATAAAATTTGAGTGGAAATAAAGTGTGATTCTATCAAAAAAGGAAAGAGGTTCATTTGTGAGCACATACCTCCTCCTCCGTATTTCAAGCACATTAAGTCCAGTCATGTTTAGTGGTTAGACCTGCAGACACACAGGTAGGTGTTGAGGGCACAAGGACATTGTGACGGGTGAGTGTTGGAGACGAGGTATTGGAAACAAGCAGGAAGGGCAGTTGACTAACTGATGATAAGACTTTTATTTGGACCAGCAGTTGGTGTAATGGCTATGTCGCTGGACTCCCATGTAGCCGACTGCAGTTCAAGTCCCCACCCGATGGCTTAAACTCACGCCAGACATGTGTGCATGCATGCCCAAGATCCTGAGAGGAGAAGGGATTGTGGTGTGGCCATCCCCCTGGGGGGTGATTTCTTACTTTCTGTCTCTGTCTCTTTCTGGTGAGCTCACACGCCCTATTAAAAAAAAAAAAAGACTTATTATGACATTTAGTAAGATCCCTGTACACCTGTAGTGTGTCAGTTGCCTCTTGCACATTGAAGGGAATGGAGCCTTGGCTTAAATTTAGGGCAGTGACTGATTTAAGACTATTATTTTAAAAATATTTTGGGAACCAGCAGTTAGCGTAATGGCTATGTTGCTGGACTCCCACGTAGTCAACCGCAGTTCATGTCCCGGACCCGGTGGCTTAAAACTCACGCTGGGCGCGTGTGCGTGCGTGCCCAAGATCCCGAGAGGAGAATGGAGGAGAAGGGATTGCGGCGTGACCATCCCCCCTGGGGGGTGATTTCTCGCTTTCTGTCTCTATGTCTCTCTCTCTCTGGCGAGTGCACGCGCCCTATAGCGAAAATCTTTCAAAAAACATTTTTTTTAGCCAATAGGTGTATAATGGTTAAGGCACTGGACACCCACACGACTGACTGCAGTTTGAGTCCCAGATCTGGTAACTTGAAATTCGTGTTGGATGTGTATGTGTGCATGACCAAAATCTCGAGAGGAAAATGGAGGAGAAGGGATTTTGGTGTGGCTGTACTCTATGCCCCCTGGGGAGAGGGTGATTTTTCACTTTCCCTCTTGCTGTGCAGCAAACATACATTCCCTATGGCAAAAACCTTAAAAAATTTTTCAATGACTATAAGAAAATGGCAGTTATAAGCATGAAGAGTCCTCTCCCCTTTTAAAAAATTATCAGAGGGGTGTGCGCTCGCCTGAGTGCATCCTCTAATGGGGGCATTGTTATACTGCACTTCCTTTTCCTGAGATTCTATGTCCAATTTGGATCTTGGGCATATTGTCATGCTTTTTAAGCCTGTAGGGCTGGGATTTGAACCGTGGATGGCCATGTATGATCCGTTCCCTTAATCACTAGGCTATGGGTCACACTAAAAAAAGCCAGTTTTTTTTTTGTGTTCACCTCTTAATTTAGTTTGACACCTCTTATCCTTCTGATCTGTTAAATGGGGATTCTTTTTTTATTTTTAAAATTTTTACTGGAGGACATGCATGCATGTCAGTCAGAGAAAGTGTGACATCTTCACCAGGAGGGATGGCCATTTGACAATTCCATCTCATCCGTTCTCCTTTTGGGATTTTGGGCACACAACATGTTTTTCAAGGTGCTGGGTCTGAGACTTGAACCATGCTGTTGACTATGTGGGATCCAGTGCCTTAACCACACCATTGGATGGCCCTAAAATGGAGATTGTAATGACACCCAGGTAGGGAGGTTTGTGAGGATTGAGTGAGTTAATATGTTTTCTTTCATATAGTCCTCAAAAAAATTCTGGGAACCAGCAGTTAGTGTAGTGGCTATGTCGCTGAACTCCCACGTAGTCGAACGCAGTTCGCGTCCCAGACCCGGTGGCTTAAAACTCACGCCAGGCGCGCGCGTGTGTGTGTGTGTGTGTGTGCGCCCAAGATCCTGAGAGGAGAATGGAGGAGAAGGGATTGCGGCGTGACCATCCCCCCTGGGGGGTGATTTCTTGCTTTCTGTCTCTATGTCTCTCTCTGTCTGGCGAGTGCATGCGCCCTATAGCGAAAAAACCTCTCAAAAAAAAAAAAAATTCTAACGTGCCTTTTTCTGTTTTAGTCTTATCTAGGAAAAAGTGGCTATAAGTAAATAATTGTTCCCAGTTTACAGACAGGGAAACAATCTCAGGTTAGGTCACTTCCAGAAGGAAGTAGAGCTTCTAAGAAGCAGGCTTCAAACCCAGGTCAGTCAGCCTCCGGAACTGCAGCTCTGAATATTTTGAGCTCAGGTTGATAATGACTGTATTTGATGTATCAGGTACAACTTTAGTGAGGGCAAAGCTCAGACCGCGCCAGTGCGTGTGTACTCCTTCACTAGATCCAGTGAGGTAGGGCTGGAATGTGATGTGACTTTGGGGACTGAATGGAATGGGATGGAGCTAATGGCGGTGGAGCTGAAGACAGAAATGGGTAGGAAATGGGTTGGGGTGACCAGGGCTAGACTAGTAATGTTCACTGGAGCAGAAACAGGTGCTGTGAGTGCCTGCTGGCCCAGGCAGGGCTGTGCTGTTCAGCTCAAGATATACCCAATGGACTAGAAGCCAAGGCAGGGTTCTGTTCTGTACCAGGACCGTGGGGGCCCTCCGGCCCGCGAAACCTCCTTTCTTAGTCTGGTGCCCTCACAGGAGCTCTCAGAGACCCAGCCCACTTTCCATTCTGGGCCTGTGGCTGCAACTACTCAGTATAGCCTCTGGGTAAAAGTTCATGTTTCAAGGCAGCGGTCCAGACCTGTCTTGTTAAATAGGTAACTTCAAAAAGTTCAAGGAGGGCCAGCCCTGTGGCCTGGTGGTTGAGGGAGCCAGATTCCAGATGGCTGACCCAGCAGCTTGTGTCCCAGACCTGGCAGCTTGAGAAACACGCTGGGGATCTGTGTGCGCCCATAATCCTGACAGGGTGGAGAGATGGAGGAGAGAGGATTGCGGTGTGACCGTTGACCATGGAGACTGCTTTCTCCCTTTCCCGATGAGTACACATGCTGCATCTCTGGCAAACTTAAAAAAGAAATTTGTAGAAAAATAGAATTAATTTATTTTGGTGCAAGAATACTTGAATTCCATACTTTTTTCCATAGTACACATTTTCCATGAACTGTTTAAAGCTCTGTTGTAGAAGTAAAGAAATTTTTGACTTTGTGTTTCAAGGTATGTATATTTAAAAAGTATAACAATGCTGTATTGTGAGTTCAGGTTTATAAAGTATTGTTGAACTGCAGCCGTCCAGGTGGGAGCCTAGCACCTTAGCCACCACTCCTGCCGCCTGCTGGCTCCTGGGATTACTTCTTGCACCCCATTTGCTAACCTCTCCCGAGAATCATATTCTGGCTGTGTGAAGCTTCACAATCTCCTTAACCCCTTCCAAACTTCAGTTTTATCATCTGTAAAGTAAGGATAACATAGCTATTATAGCTGAGGATTGTGAGGGTTAAGGAGCTAATTCAAATAAAAATCTCACCCCTCCCGGGACCAGCAGTTGGCTTAATGGCTATGTTGCTGGACTCCCATGTAGTCGACAGTGATTTGAGTCCTGGATCCTGGGTGCATGTGAGTGCGTGCCCAAGATTTGGAGAGGAGAATGGACAAGGGATTGCAGCGTGGCCATTCCCCCTGGGGGGTGGTTTCTAGCTTTCTGTCTCTGTCTCTTTCTGGTGAGCCCACGCACCCAATAGCAAAACCTCTCCCCCCCAAAAAAAAAATCTCACCCCTCCCTCCAAATCTTTAACCACAAAATGAATACTATAATTCCATCTCTCTAGCTTCCCTCTTTGCAATAAGGCAGATATTACAGATCCAGGGTCATTGGAGAGACGAGTTTCCTCCCAGAAGTTAACTAGGGGCTACCAGCAATGACCAAACGTGGGGAAGTTACGCAGGTTTCAGAGACCACAGTTTTTATAGTAATTTAGTGTTCCGTTCTTGACTTTCTTGAATGGGACCTGGAACCCTATTAGAGCAGATTTCCCATCTAAGGTACACTGATGAAAACAACACAAACCATGTTAGACAACGTTCAAGCACTTCCCACCGTAACAGCTCCATCCTCGCATCCGTTCTGAGGTAGTGCCATGCCATCCCCATCTTGCTAAGAAACTCGTGCACAGTATGGCTAGGAAGGTAGGAACTCGAATTCAAACTTGGATACACTGCAACTCTAGAGCCTCCGGGCTAAACGACGACACTGCCCCTGGGACAGGGGTCTTGTTCAGGCCGGGATCTGGCCTCCCGGCTACACCAGCGCTGGCCGCACACTCCGTAGGACGAGCGAGTGGCCGACGGGAAGTGCGGTTGCGCCGCGGTGCAGAGCGGGCCGGGCCGGCCTACCAGTCCCGGGATCCCGAGCGCACGCAGCCACTTCCGGCACTAGCCCCACCCCTTGGGGGCACCGCCGTCCTTTCGCGTTCAAGAATTGTGTCCCCAGCGCCGCGCCGTCTCTCCGCTCTCGCCGCTGCCATGGCGGCGGGTGCGCCGCTCTCCAAGGCTGAGTACCTGAAGCGCTATCTGTCCGGGGCAGATGCTGGCGCTGACCGGGCTGTCGAGTCCGGTCGGAAAAGGCGCAAAAAGCGTCCGAAGCCTGGCGGGGCCGGCGGCAAGGGGTGAGTTGGATCCGGCAGGCGCGGGGCCCGGGGGCACGCCGGCCGCTCTCCCTTCCCAACTCCTCGCCCGGCCGCCCGCCCGCGCCCCTCTGCCTGCCGGAGTGTCAGAGCCAGGCTGTAACTTCCCTCACTCTTTTCCCGCCTTTGTCGCCCACGGTCCTCTCCCGGGGGAGCCAGTACTCGTACCGAGGGAGGTGGAACTGATTCGAAGCCGCCGCGCGTGGCCTCGCAGGACCCAGGCACTGCCTGTGCGGAGCCCCACATCTCAACCCTGGTCCTCGGTCAGAGACCCACCGTCACCTGTTACTCTTAGAACGACTGCTGACAGTGACAACTATTTATACGGTTGTCACGTGCCAGGCACCGTCCTAGCAACGTTACACCTATGTGAATTGAATGTAAGCTTCCCAGGGCTACCGTGAAGTAGCCATTTTTCCAATGAGAAAGTTTTTGTGACTAGTACCCCCCCCCCATTCCTGCCCACTCAGAGCTTCAGAATGTGACATTATTTGGAAGCAGGGTCTCTGCAGATGTAATCAGTTCAGGTGAGGTCATACTCCATGAAGTGTTAGGTCCAGTATGGCCGGTGTCCGTTAAGAAGAGAGAAATTGGAACACACACAGTGGAGACTGAGATCGGACTGGATTTATGCTCCCCCAGCCAGGGTCCACCCAGGGGTACCAGAAGCTGGAAGAAGCTCCCTCAGAGACTTCCTAGGGAGCATGGCCCTTGCAGTCCCCTTACAAAATGTGGACTCGATTCAGATCTCCAGCCTCCAGAACTGAGAGGCATTTTCGTTTTATTCTAAGACACCCAGTTTTTGGCATTTTGTCATGTACGGTCCTGGAAAATGAATATGCCCAGTGAGGTCAAATAGCTGCAGAGAACTTGCCCATTCATTTTCCTTCTCTGGTTCTTGCCTTGTCCTTGCCTTGGGTCTTTCTGTGTCCCCGCCCATTTGTGTGCATTCTTTGGAGGCCATGCCATGAAGTGCAAATAATGAGCTTTGGAGCAGTGCTCATTCATCAGCATTTGAGTCCTTGCTGTGCCACTTTATAGCAAGGCCTTGGCAATTGATTTCTTCTTTCTGAGTCTTAGTTTCCTTATCTAAGACGAGGGTCTTTGGGACCAGCAGATGGCATATTGGTTATGTCACTGGACTCTCATGTAGTCAACTGGGGTTCGAGTCCCAGACCCAGTACTCATGCTGAGTACGTGTACATTCATGCCCCAGATCCCGAGAGGAGAATGGAGGAGAAGGGATTGCTGTGTGGCCATCCCCCCTGGGAGGTGATTTCTTGCTTTTTGTCTCTCTTTGTCTCTCTGGTGAGTGCATGCACTCTATAGCAAAAATCTCTCTTTAAAGAAAAAAGATGACGGTCCTACTGAATAATGCCACTTATATTAAGTGGCTGTTGTGACTAGAGATGTTGTATCCAGTGTCCCTGGCTTTTCAAACAATTAACTGTTCACATCACAGTTTACCCATGTAACAAAACATTCAGTGATTTTTTTCCTGTGCCAGTTCGTGCTGTATGTTGAGGATGCCTCTGTGAACAACAAGAGCATAGTCCCTGTTGTGGCGGAGATTATATTATAGTTTAATGGGGGTACAGCCTTCAAACAATTAATTACACAGCAAGTTGATTTCTTTTGTGATAAATATAATTAAAGTATTCCCAGAGTATCTAACAGGGATTCTTAGTCTGGGGGTAGAGAGAGGGTAGTCAAGGAAGATCTGCCCAAAGAAGTTTTATATTTGTATGTATATAGAACTTTTTTTTTTTTTAAGAGAGATTTTTTGCTATAGGATTTGTGTACTTGCCAGAGAGACAGACAGAAAGCAAGAAATGATCCACCTGGGGGGATAACCATGCCACAACTCCTTCATTCTCCTCTTGGGATTTTGGGAACACACGCACATACACCCAGCTTGAGTTTGAAGCTGTCGGGTCTAGGACTCAAACTGCAGTGGAAGTTGTATTTATGCTAGGACCTGAGGAATGAGTATGACTGTCCTGGTAAAGCAGCAGCAGCAGTATGGGTCAGGCACAGGAAAGGAACTGTGTGAAAACTGAGGTGGGAAGCAGCTTGGTTCATTCCAGACACCAAAGGATGGCTGGTGAAGTGCAGGAGTAAACAGCGAGCAGTGGTGTGAGACGAGTTGGCCTTATGGACAGAGACGGGGCCATGCAGAATCTTGTAGAATTCTGAAGTTTTAAAACCAACAGGTAGGTTTTCTTAGGTTGCTATCCCAGGATGACTCTTCTTGATCTCATTCAAATTTAGAATGCGGATTGTGGATGATGACGTGAGCTGGACAGCTATCTCCACCACTAAACCGGAAAAGGAGGAGGAGGAGGATGGAGATTTACCTGTGGTATGTGTTGTTTGGGGCTGTCAGGACTTTGAAATATACAAGGTTCTCGGGACTGGCAGTTGGGGTAATTGCTGTGTCACTGGACTCCCATGTAGTTGACTGCAGTTCGAGTCCTGGACCTGATTTGCTTAAATTCACACCAGTCATGTGTGCATGCATGCCCAAGATCCCGAGAGGAAAATGGAGGAGAAGGGATTGCCGTGTGGCCATTCCCCCCCCCCCCCCGGGGGGGTGATTTCTTGCTTTCTGTCTCTCCGTCTTTCTGGCGAGCGCATGAGCGCAAAAACCTCTCAAAAAAAAAAAAAATATATATATATAAGGCTCTCAGTTTTGATTCTTATTGTAGGATAGATTTGTAGGTGGGAAAGTTGAGTATAGAGCAGCACTTTCCATAGAGCTGTTTAAAATAGTCTCCTTTCAGGATGCTATACTCTGACTTCTCTGTTCATGGAGGGCCCCATCAGCCTGGAAATGAGATCTCATCCTAGAGAGAGGCGGGACACCACAACATCCACGGTAGAGCCGGGTCAGAAGTAGTTACGGTTCAGTTTGTTGGACTCTACATTCGAAACTATTATAGGGAGCTTTTTATTTTTCCTTTTATTCACTCATTTATTTATTTTTTTTTTAGTTTGCTATAGGGCACGTGTGCTTGTTGATCGGGGTGGAAAGGGAAGCGGAGTGGGGGGGAAGGGATGTGAGAAAGCTTTCCCTGGGAGAGTTTGACCATGCTGCAATCCCTTCTCCATTCTCCTCTTGGGATTTTAGGCATGCTTGCACATGCCCATGGCATGTTTTTAAGCCTCTGGGTCTGAATCTTGAACAGCGCGGTCGGCCATGTGGGATCCAGTCACCTTTACCACACCACTGGCTGGCCCTGTTCATTGATTTAACTAAGCTTTAAAACTGTATAGCAGGTAGTGTGGTGGTCAAGGTGCTGGACTTTCACTGTGGACTGCAGTTTGAGCCCTGGACACACTGGACATGTGTATGTGCGTGCCCAAGATCTTGAGAGGAGAATGGAGGAGAAGAGATTATGGTGTGGCCATCCCCCTGGGGAGTGATTTCTCACTTTCTTTCTCTCTGTCTCTCTTCAGTGAGTGCATGCACACTATGGCAAAAACCTAAAAAAAAAAAAAAAATTATATACTCTTGCTTAAGTACTGGAGAGATGAAGATTAGTAAGACATAGTATCTCTACTTTAAAGGTTATACTCTAAAATGAAAGATGTGATAAATTTGGGAGGCATAGTTCACATATGCACCAAGTGCCATTAGAACACTGTGGAGGTAGCCCATTTTGTATTCCACAGGGAGATGTCATGACAGCGTTTGGATTGAGTTTTGTTTTTTTAAGAGGTTTTTGCCTTAGGGACTGTGCGTTTGCAGTCCTTCCATTGGGTAGATTCAAGAAACCTATCATTGTGCCTTCCTACACTAAGAAAGGTTTCATAGAAACCTGAAGTCTTTGGTTAGTGATAAACATGACATGTAGGCAGCCTTTTTTTTCACTCTGAATGTAAAAGTAAAAATGTTAAAAGAATTTGGGAACCAGCAGTTAGCGTAATGGCTATGTCGCTGGACTCCCACGTAGTCGACTGTAGTTCGTGTCCCGGACCCGGTGGCTTAAAACTCATGCCGGGCGCGTGTGCGTGCGTGCCCAAGATCCCTAGAGGAGAATGGAGGAGAAGAGATTGCGGCGTGACTATCCCCCCTGGGGGGTGATTTCTCGCTTTCTGTCTCTATGTCTCTCTCTGTCTGTCTGGCGCGTGCACGCGCCCTACAGTGAAAATCTCTCCAAAAAAAAAAAATGTTAAAAGAATTTAACTTTTAGCTTGCAAGTGTCAGTTATGTATCTGGCAGGTTAATAAAAAGGTTTGTAATGAAATGAACTTTTGGAAGGAAATTGATTAGTCAGAGAAAGATTTACAGTTAAGCCAATACTGCAGCAATTGGTGTTTATGTAATAACTAAGGACCTTGACATGCTTCAAGACTTATTTATTTATTTCTTCCGTGAGTGAGTGAGTGGATGAGAGAAAGAGAGAGACAGACAGAAAGACTGAGAGGGAGCATCCCTAACAGGGTCTTGATGACATGATTCACCCCCAACTTCAGCAAGCCCCAGACCATGGACATGCACATTCTCAACACACTCAGGGAGGTCTCCAGGATGCGAAGCTGGAACCCCACATGTGAGTCAACCCCACAGAATGTCACGTTTTATGACCGTGCCGCCGTCAGGCCCCCTAGGACCCCTGTGTGTTTCTTCACGGCTGTTTTGGGTATGCGTGCACCATGAGTATTAGGAACAGGATTGGCCTAGCTTCAGGTTCCTGCGACAGCAGTGCTTCTTGGCTGGATCCTGTGCGTTTCTTCTTAGCTTTTTATTCCCACAGGTGGCCGAGTTTGTGGATGAGCGGCCAGAAGAGGTAAAGCAGATGGAGGTCTTTCGATCCAGTGCCAAATGGAAACTTCTGGGAGGTGAGTTCCAACAATAGATACATTTAAATTGTTCATTTATAGGGGAGGCCTTTTCTTCTTTATACTTTTCTTTTAGAGGAATGCATAGCTTCTTTTGTTGTGTCATTGATCCTGGAAAGATGGTGGGGTGAAGAATTCAGGATTTCTTTTGATTAGTAAAGCCATGGGAACTTAGAGACCAAGAATCCCTGTTTCTCTTGTATTTCAGCATTAAGGTAATTGAAGTCAGAAAGTGACCAATTTGAGGGATTTATTGCACCCGTTCCTCTCTGGCTCAGGCTGAAAGAACACAGTCTATAGGCAGGACTTCAGGAGGATTTTATATGAAACGGGAACAGTGAGAAAGCCGCCTTTGACTTCTTCAGAACGAAGCGACTGATGTATGGATCAAGAAACCAGTGTTTCCGGGAACCAGCAGTTAGTGTAATGGCTATGTCGCTGGACTCCCACGTAGTCGACCGCGGTTCGCATCTCGGACCCGGTGGCTTAAATCTCACGCCGGGCGCGTGTGGCGTGACCATCCCCCCTGCGGGGTGATTTCTCGCTTTCTGTCTCTATGTCTCTGTCTGGCGAGCGCACGCGCCCTATAGCGAAAACCTCTCCAAAAAAAAAAAAAAAGAAACCAGTGTTTTTTCTCTTTTTTATTTGTGTTAATAAATTTCTCTACTTTATCTACTTTAGCCCTTCTTCTTAGGTTAGTAATTTAATGACTATAAATAATATTGTTTTGAGTCCTTGAGAATTGGATAAGAGGCATCTGTTTGTCATGTCTGTCTGAGCAGAGACTAGTCTCGTTCACTTTGGAATTTCCCCAGCCTAGAAGAGGCAGTGCCTTTGTTAGTGGGGCTTTTTTTAGTTTTTAAAATTCATTATCATTTATTTCTTTGATGAAAGAGAAAGAAAGATAGACAAGTTAACCCCACCAGGGTTCATGCTGCACCATATCCTCAGTGCCTGCCTTCTGGGTAATGGGCACACATGCACACCTGGTGTGTAGAGGGGTCCTTGGGCCATGGACCCAGGATCTTTCCTGTGGGTCCCCTTGCATTGTTGTGAATTGTAAAATTGCTAATAGGCATCTGGTTCTTACAGCTTACTGTTCTTTGCCAGATTATCACTGGAGACTTAGCAGTTGCCCCTTTTCTAAGAACTTGGTAGGTAGGTCTGCTTACAGGGGGCAGACCAGTGAGTCGTAGTCTTAGTCCCAGCAGTCATTTAGGCTTTGCATAGCCGGGAGAAGCACGTAGTTTTCTTATCTGGTCTTTGTCCTCTCATAAACAAGGATCTTGCTTCTTCATACTTGTTTAACTCCAGCTCATTTCGATGCTCACTCCTTTTTCTCACACACAGGATGAAAGAATGAGCCCGTATAGAGGATTTGTCTTTGTGCGTTCTGTGCTGCCATTAGTTAATTATTTTACAGTTCTGATTAGAAAAATATGTGTGACAAAAGTGACAATTAGCTACAGATTAGTGATCACCATTACCTCAGTTAATTTTCAGTACATTATTGTTTAGATTCATGAATGAAAACTTATCATCAGGTTTATATTGTCAGAATGCTCTTAGTGTTGTTCTTTGTTCCCTGTCTTATTTATAGTTGTCTTTCCAGAGGGAATCTTCTGTTTTCTATATCTTTGGTCTAGGAGCTCTCTGTCTCTCTCTCTCTCTGTCTCTGTCTCTCTCTTTCTCACACGCATACACACACACAGGTAGTACTTTTTCTTTTGCCTCTTTGTTTGTTTGCTAGAGGATATGTGCACTTGCCGGAGAGAGACAGAGAGAGAGGTGGGGGGAGGAGTGAGAAACCACCCCGAGGGGGGAATGGCCATATGATAATCCCTTCTCCATTCTCCTCTTGGGATTCTGGACACACATGCACCTGGCATGGTTTTCAGGCCACTGGATCCCAGACTTGAACTTTCATCCTATTAAGCCTTTTGAAAATCAAAGGTCTCAAACTATGTATTTTTTCTTTTACTATATTTTTTAAAAGATTGCGCATGGACTGTGGAGTCCAACAGATCTGGATTTAAATACTTTATACCCCCCTACACACATATACACACACACTAGTTAGCAGTATACTTTTGGCAAATTATTTCATCTTTTTGGGTGTCAACTTCCTCATCTATAAAATGGGAATAACTGCTTATCTCCTAGGCTTGTGGTGAGGATCAAATGAAGTTATTTACATAAAGCATTGGTGTGTAGAAGGTGATCAGTAAATGCTTGATGCTTGATCTTTCTCTTTTTTTTCCTGGTGATTTCCACCCCCTCTAACCAGGAGCACAGGGACATGGACTGAATAGTTAAGTGTTTCATTTTGCTGTGCACTGGTTTAGTCAATTTGCCTTTTGAAAAAAGGGTGAGAACAAACTAGATTATCTAGGCTAGACATCAGTGGAAGCCACTTGACTGGGAACTGCAGAAAGTGAGGCTTTGGGTGGGGAGCTGGGAGGCTTAGTTCTAGGTCTCTTCATCATAGTGGCTCACCCTAGGTAAGAAATTACGCAGTTCCTCAGAGCCTCTGTTCTCTGGCTTGTAAAATAAGGGCATCTGCCCCAGTTACCTTAAAGGAGATAATAGGAAAACATGTTGAAAATACTTTAAATTTATGATTTGGTAGATATTTCAGAGGGGTTATTCTTAAGGGATTCATGAATGCTGGTGTTTTGTTGCCAAGCAAGAAAGTTGAGTAGGTCTCTTGGGCTTTATGAGTAGTTCTGAGGTGTGCACTGCTGGGGCATCTTTTGAAACTGGGTAAATAGAGTGGACAGAGCATTTATGAGTCTGACTGTTCGTCATTTGTGTTTAGGACACAATGAAGACCCATCTTCACACAGGCATTTTCGTCATGATACCCCAGAGTCATCTCCTCCTAGAAGAGACCGACATGATACCCCGGATTCATCTCCTAGGAAGGTCCGACATGATACTCCAGATTCATCCCCTCCTAAGGGGATCCGTCATGATACCCCAGAGTCATCCCCTCCGAGGAGGGCCCGTCATGATACCCCAGAGTCATCTCCTCCTAGGAAGGTCCGACATGATACCCCGGATTCATCCCCTCCTAGGAGGGACCGTCATGATACCCCAGATTCATCCCCTCCAAGGAGAATCCGTCATGATTACCCAGATCCTTCTCCTCCTAGGAGGGTCCGCCATGACTCCTCAGATGCTTCACCATCCCAAAGGCCCCATCATGATTCTCTGGATCCTTCTCCTCATAGGAAGCCTCATCCTAACTCCTCAGGTGTATCTGGTAGGAGAGCCCATCGTGACTCCCCAGGACCATCTGCTCCTAGTAGAGCCCGCCATGATTCCTCAGACATCTCTTCCCCACGAAGGGCTCATAACAGCTCCCCTGATACATCGCAGCCTAGGAGAACTCTTGATTCATCAGACACATGGCAACCCAGGAGGGCCTGTCATGACTCTCCTCGTTTGGCTCCTAGTGTTGCTCACTCATTGCCCAGAACGAAAAGTAGTAAAGCCCCAGAAAGAGCCTCTAACAAGACATCTCCACACCGGAAAGGCCCAGGACCCTCTCATCTCTCACTTGCCAATAACAACAAATATGATTATGACTCGGACCTTTCTCCTCCACGAAAAAAGCAAGCAAAGTCTCATGTGGGAGATAAACAGCTTGATTCTAAAGGTAAGCATGTGGCTGTCCATGAGAGGGACTTGCTTCTTGGGTGCTTTCTTTTGGACCTTTGCTCCCCCCCCGTTTTTTTAAAAAAAAGAGGTTTTTTTACTATAGGGCATGTGTACTCAGAGAGAGAGCCAGAGATCACCCCCACCCCCCAGGGGATATGGCCACACTATAGTCCCTTCTCCTCCATGAACACGCAGCTGGTGTAAGTTTCAAACTGCTGGGTCTGGGACTTGAACCATGGTCTACCATGTGGGAGTCCAGTGACATAACCATTAAGCAATCTGCTGGTCCTTATCTTTGCTTACCTTTGCTTGCTTTATCAGATATGAGAGTGCAGTTTCTTTGGAAGTTTTGAAAACTCAGAGGCCCTCTCAGGAGAGTTAGAAAAATATATTGGTAGGCAGGAAGATTTTCATGTATTGTTTTATTTATTCTCCTCATCCCATGTAAAAGGTACCACATTTTGCAGAAGCTTTAGAATGTATAGAAGTATATAAAGGAGGAGAAAAACATGACTCAAAAATCTGTTGTTCAGAGGCAGTTAGTGTCAGCATTGTAGCCAGTGTCGTTTTAGTACTGAGCTTTTTTTTTTTTTTTTTTTTTTTAGCGCGGTTTTTTTTTCTGAGCTTTTTTTTTTTTTTTTTTTTTTTTTTAAGATTTTTGCCATAAGGTCCATGCACTTGCCAGAGACAGACAGAGACAGAGAGGGAAGGTGAGAAATCACTCCTTGGGGGGATGGTCATGATGCAATCCCTTCTCCTCTTGGGATTTTGGGCACACATGTACATGGTCCCTGTATGATTTTCAGGTCTCCAGGTCTTGGACTTGAACTATGGTCCACCATGTGGTGTCAACACCTTAACCACCATGCCTCCTGCTGGCCCCAGTCCTGGGCATTTTTGGTGTAGTTGAGCCCTGACTATGCAGAACATACTTACTGCATGTATAATCTCGGCTGCTCTCTTTACTTAACATGATCTCCCTCAGGACATAGAAACTTCTCTGTGTTAACATAATTTTTAATGATGTTCCATTCACCTCCCTAATATTGCATGTCCTAAATTTTGGTTTTATAATCCTATAATGAACATCTTTGTATATAAACTGTTATTTTCTTATCTACTTCTAGATAGACTTCCTAGAAGTTTAATTACTTCTGGATTGTTTTCCTGGAAAACTAGAAGCTGATTTACTGGGTCAGAGGGTGTGGATATTTCTAAGACTATTGATGGTCTAAGATTGCTTTTTGGGAGGTGATTTATGATGCTTATATATCCTAGAACTTAGACCTGTGCAGTGAGATTCTTTACGTCACCTTTTGTTTGTAAATACTACTTTAGTTTATTTTTATGCCACAGTGCTTTTGCATGTGTACAAGAGGGGAAGAGAGAGAAAGCACCCTTAATGGGACGTCATCATTCTGCAATCCTTTGTCCTCTGATTCTCCATCTCATCAGGATTATGTGCATGTGCGCAATGAGTTTTTTGAGCCACTGGGACTGGGACTCAATACTCAAAACCCCGGTTGACTCTGCGGGATCTGACTTTCCCTAAACTGCTGTACTTTGTAGACACCCCCCCTACTTAATTTTTAAGTTAAAATACTTTGTTTCCTTTAGTTTGAGGACATCAGAATATATTATGGCTATTTCTCCCCCCCGCCTTTTTTTTTTTTTAAAGTTTATTGATTTCTTTCTTCCATGAATGAGAGAGAGAGAGAAAGACACATAGGCGCACCTCCATGAAAAGGGTTTTCATGCCACAATTCACCACCAGTTCAGCCAGCCCAGATCATAGGCATGTGCCAGGCATGTTCAGGGAGGCCTCTGAATGCAAAGCTGGATCCTTCTCATGTGGGTCAGCCTTGCAGAGTGTTGTTACCACTCAGTTCCCATTCTAGGTATTTCTGATGTTTGGACACCGTGGAGAGTTGATAAGTCATTTTGCCTATTCTGCAGGTGGGTAACTGTGACACAGATGAACATGTTGGGATCTTATGTGCCAGTCACAGTTACTGGTTACTTGGGAATTCAACCCTACTTCTAGTCTCTTGGTACTGAAAGTTGTCTCTGACTTTGCTCTTCTCCAATCTCAACTATTCTTTTTTTTTGGAGAGGTTTTCACTATAGGGTGCATGCGCTCACCAGACAGACAGAGAGACATAGAGACAGAAAGCGAGAAATCACCCCCCAGGGGGGATGGTCACGCTGCAATCCCTTCTCCTCCATTCTCCTCCTGGGATCTTGGGCATGCACGCACACGCGCCCAGCGTGAGTTTTAAGCCACCGGGTCCAGGACGCGAATTGCAGTCGACTACATGGTCATTACGCTAACTGCTGGTTCCCGATCTCAACCATTCTTGTGTTTAGATTAATGATAGTTCTTCATAGAAAGACTGATAAATATTGTACAATAGCTTGGTAAATTCCTTTTTATGTCTCCTAAGGAGATTAAGGAATTTATTCTTTAATTTCTAGGCTCTTCATAGGAACTGTCATGTAAGTTCTTCACCTAGGAGACATCAGAGTCACAGGTTGACCTCTTCTTCCTACCCAGGTGACTACCGGAAGACCTCTGACTCAGACCTTTCTCCTCCACGGCGTAAGCAAGGTCCAGGGCAGCAGGATTCAGATTCAGATCTGTCGCCTCCACGAAACAGACCCAAACACGAGAGCTCCGATTCTGATCTCTCTCCACCAAGGAGGAAAAAAAGGACCAAATCTTCTGATTCTGATCTGTCTCCACCTCGAAGGAGTCAGCCTCCTGGAAAGAAGGTAGGGATTTTCAGGAGCCATATGCCTCTCAGGGACTCCTCAGTTCTACTTTATGCAAATCTTGGAGAATTAAGCTAGAAGAGGAGGAGGTAGCTCTCGGTAGTGGTTCACGTAGTAAATCATGGTTCAACATCCAGAGCTCTTGTGTTCTCTCTGAAGGTGGGACTAGCTATAACCTAGCCCAGATGGACTTGAAAATCCTACATTTCCCAAGTAGCTTCTGCCTTTATAACCTCTTAATTCCACAAATCTTATTTGGTTGAGAGAAACTTGATGTTTTCTTACAAATAAATGGAGAACTGTAAGTTTTAGAGTGGGGTTAGGTGCACAGATCGTCTGTTAAACTGATCACATATCGAATCCTACTTTTTCCAATTACTGTCTGAGAGACTTGGGCATGACACGTAGTTTCTCTAAGCCTCAAGCTTTGTCATCTGTAAAATGTAGATGATAGCATCTAATTTATGAGGTTATTGTGAGAATTGAATAAGTTACCATAAAACTCTTAGCCTGGGATAAAATAAGCATTTAGTATTAGTGACAGTATTTTAAACTTATTATTGTAAATTGGACTACAGGTCTCTGTATCTAGAGATTATAGAGTGATACTTAAAATATAAGACTACTCGGGACCAGCAGTTAGCATAATGGCTATGTCGCTGGACTCCCATGTAGTTGACCGCGGTTTGAGTCCCGGACCCGGTGGCTTGAACTCATGCCGGGCACGTGTGCGTGTGTGCCCAAGATCTCAAGAGGAGAATGGAGGAGAAAGGACTGTGGCGTGGCCATTCCCCCTGGGGGGTGATTTCTCGCTTTCTGTCTCTCTGTCTCTGTCTGTCTGTCTGGTGAGCTCACGCACCCTATAGCAAAAATCTCTCCAAAAAAAAAAAAAAGAAAAGAACCTTAAATATAAGACTACTTTTAAAAATCATATTGTCTGGGAAGGTAATGTTTTGTTTTGTTTTAAATCTATGTTGGGCCAGCAGGTGGCATGGTGATTAAGGGTGCTAGATTCCCACATGGTCGACTGCAGTTCAAGTCCTGGACTTGGCAGCTTGCTTTCTCACTTTCTCTCCTTATCTCTTTCTATCTCTCTCTGTCCCTCTCTGGTCAAGTTAAAAAAAAAAAAAAAAGTTGAATAATTAAAAAATATTATAAGTAAATAAATCTATGTTAAAGCTTGATGAATAAGGGAAAACAAATCCATGTGAACCATCACTAATTCTATTGTAAGGGGATTTGTGGTAATAAAGTAATCTTACTGTGAGGTGGACAAGAAATATCCTGCTGGGGTAGACCAGCCTGTCTCCAAGCCGAGAAGGGAGATTCTTTCCTCTTGAGAAACAAAGGCCTCTGTGTCAGCTGGGGCCTTGACACTTTATGCATCCATTTAGTCCATGGGCAACTTAATAGTAATCAAATTCAGCTGCTTATGGATGCCAGGACATACTCTCTAACTCCATTCATATGTCAGTTTACTATCTTGATACAAAGTGATGATGAGTGAAAAGATTTCATTCCTATCTTCTGTTACTATCCTTAAATATATCCACAATGAAAGGATCTGAGATTTGCCTGCATTTATACTTTACATGGAATGCTTTATCAGTGGGAGGCTTACAGCTCGAAGTAGGTTTCTGATCAGGTGGCCTGAGAACGAGTCTTCCTATGTGTTTCTGACTTCATATACTGAAAAGTCAGAAATGCAAATGTTTAGCGATCCCTTTAATATAATGTTAGTTTGTGTTTCTGTTTACTCTTAAACTTGACAATACTATTGATTTTTCCATGAAATAAGATTTTCTTTCTCTCTTTTTTCAATCTTGTGAATCCTATGGGAAATAACGAGAACTTAGAGTTTTTGGTTTGCTTATGGCTGATCATCGGACAGAGATGCCTCTAGTCGCCTATGCCCGTGGAGCCGACCGCTACTTTAGCTCGTTGATAACGGGTGCTCCCCTTCCCTTTGCACAGGCTGCACACATGTATTCTGGGGCCAAAACTGGGTTGGTGTTGACTGATATACGGAAAGAGCAACAGGAACTGAAGAAACAGGACCAAGAAACCATTGCATTTGAAGGTAAAAATGCATAAGTGCAGAGATCAGTCTAGGCTCATGTAGCTTTTATTTGCTTAAATGTAGCTTATTATACCTGGTATTTTAAACTTTTAATAGCTATTAAATTTGAGTTCTGATTTTATGCATTATTTTGACTTCTCAGTGGGATCCAGTGGTCCCTCCCTGCCCTCCCCCTCTTTCTTTCTTTCTATTTTATTTGCTAGAGGCCATATGTACTTGCTGGAGAGAGAGAGAGGGAAAGAAAGCACCCTATGGGGACTGGTCATGCCATAATCCCTTCTGTCTTTCAGGATTCTGGGCAGGCGTGCACATACACTCAGTACATTCAGAACTCAATTCGCTCTCAGTGCACTCAGAACTCAGTTCGCACAGCCATGAGTTATCCACCTGTCTTAACTACTGTGCCACCAGCTGCCCCATTTCTTTCCTTGAGAAGTATCAGACCCATTGCCAACGTGCACCTAGATGTTGGTAGGAACAATTTATGGTCTGGCTGCAAAAGTTCTTATCCAGCATTAGCATTCCAAGGGGTTGGTTTTACTTGTTAGAATATTATTTGTTTTGTTACCTAGTACTTATCTTAAAAAGTGTAATTTCTCTTGCAGCTGAATTCCAATATGCTGAAACTGTATTTCGAGATAAGTCTGGACGTAAGAGGAATTTGAAAATGGAACGTTTAGAACAAAGGAGAAAAGCAGAGAAGGACTCGGAGAGAGACGAGCTGTATGCCCAGTGGGGAAAAGGGTAAAGGAAGAAACAAGACGCAGTAACTGGAGCAGGTCCTTCCTCTGCTCCGCGCCCAGTTAGTTCTGTGTTCTGCCTTCAGAGCTGTTACTGAGGGTGGGATGTTCAGTGTGCTGAGTCCCCTTCCCAGGATGCTGGTGGAGTCCGCACTCTCAGTGGTATTCTGGGGTTGTACCCTTTTCAATATTTGGCCGAGGCTTCTAAAAAGTGGAGACTCCCAGTGTAGCAGTGCGGTCCTCTCAGTGTGGCAGTGGAAATGTCAAACGGGATAGGAAACGTTCTCGGTTCTTTTTTGCCCAGGCTTGCCCAGAGCCGGCAACAGCAGCAAAATGTGGAGGATGCAATGAAGGAGATGCAGAAACCTCTGGCTCGCTACATTGATGATGAAGATCTGGACCGGATGCTGAGAGAACAAGAAAGAGAGGGAGACCCCATGGCCAACTTCATCAAGAAGAATAAGACCAAGGAGAACAAGAATAAGAAAGGTAGGACTTCTGAGAACCGATAGGCTGGAGGTGACTTACGAGGAGAGAGGATCCTTAGGGTGCCAGTACATAGCTGTGTGCGAAGAAAGCTTTCTTATACAATTTAAAATTTTTCATATTTGTCTGAGAGTTGAGTCCAACTTAGTATTTGCATATAGAAACTTCCCCTGATACCATCCAGCACGGAATTAAATGTACAGGTAACTAACTTCTTGTTGCTCTGTCTTCTGTCACTAGTGAGACCTCGCTACAGCGGCCCAGCACCTCCTCCTAACAGATTCAATATTTGGCCTGGTTATCGCTGGGATGGAGTGGATAGGTAAGCCTGAGTAGTACCTTTTCATTTTCTCTTTTTTTTCTGACATTAGCCTTTCCTAATCATTTTAAGTCACTTTATACTGCCTTATTCGCTGTGCTAATTACTGGTAAATATGCACTTTGCTGTGTCTATTTCAGTTCATAAATCCTATTTCCCATGAGTAGAACAGTTTCTCCTTCTGTTTCTTTTTCCCAATACTTTTTAAAGCTCAGGTGGTCTATATAGGACATCCTTTGTTTTGGACATTGGTCACTTTTAATATTTTATAAGGTTTATAGGAAATGAGTGAGGGTTGTAGTCTAGAGCCTTGTATCTTTAAATGTATCCTTTGAGCTTCAGTTTTCTTCACTGTCTGAAGAGTGAATCACTAGTAATGCCTTAAAGATCCATCCTTCCTCTGTCCACCACCAGCAACTACCTACAGTACAGTTGGGATTGGGTCTATCCTTTAGCACAGTAATTTTTTTTCCCTTTTCTTTAAATTTATTTATTTTTTTTACATTAATTCACTATACATCATTACAGCATACAAAATTAATTTTTCATCCAGAATACACTATATATTGGCTCAGTCAAGCACATCAATATACATGTTATCAACAAATAATTTTCCATTTCTTATGTCTTGTATATTTTGCTTTTTTTTTTTTTTTTGCCATCCTTGATTCCTATCCCTCACCCTCTGCCGTGTCCCACCCTCCTCCCACATTGTCTCTGGTATCCATGGTTGCTTTCTATGCCTTTCCCCCCCATTTAATTGATTTGCTAATGAACTTAATTAGTCTAAATATTTGCAATAGCAAGTGCAATGAACATGAACCCAAGTCTGACTTTAGGCATAAACCTCAGTGAGTAGAATGAACATACTATAAAGTAGTACCTAGCTGGGGCTATATAGCTTACTGTAGTCATCACATACGCATTTTTTTTTTTTTTTAATTTCAATAAGAACAGTTTTAGTGTTTTTTTTCCGCCTGAAACTTTTTTAAAATTAATTTACATTCATTCCCTGAGCATCATCACAACATACTAAATATGGTTTCCCATCTAGAATAAACTGTGTAGTGACTTAATCATGCATGTTATCATCAATAATATTCCATTTCTACTTTCATATATATATATATATGTTTTTTACCCCATGTCTGACCCTCTGCCCTTTTCCACTCTCTTATTATATTATCTCTGCTGTCTACAGTTGTCTTCAATTCCTTTTCCCCCAACATTTTGTTGATCACACAATGTCATAAGTAATCTAACTACTTTCAATAGCAAGTTCAGCTGGTAATTTCAAGAAAAGCAGTTTTGAGCTGGTAAGCATAGTAATTTTTAAACTTTTTAATCTCAGGACTCTTTTCAGTCTTAAAAACTATTGAGGACCTCCAAAAACTTTTGTTGCTATGGATTATATCTCTTGAGACATTTAGAAGTATTTCTTTCTTTTTTTTGTTTTTTTTGAGAAGTTTTCGCTATAGGGCGTGTGCACTCATCAGAAAGACAGAGAGAGACAGAGAGACAGAAAGCGAGAAATCATCCCCCCGGGGGAATGGTCACGCTGCAATCCCTTCTCCATTCTCCTCTCGGGATCTTGGGCACGCATGCACATGCGCCTGGTGTGAGTTTTAAGCCACTGGGTCTGGGACTTGAACTGAGATCGCCTATATAGGAGTCCAGTGACATAGCCATTACGCTATCCACTGGTTCCAGAAGTATTTCTTTTTGTCTTTTTTTTTTTTTTGGAGAGGTTTTTGCTATAGGGCGCATGCACTCGCCAGATAGACAGAGACAGAGAGATAGAAAGAGAGAAATCACCCCCCAGGGGGGATGGCCACACTGCAATCCCTTCTCCATTCTCCTCTCGGGATCTTGGGCACGCATGCACATGCGCCTGGTGTGAGTTTTAAGCCACTGGGTCCGGGATGCAAACCGCAGTTGACTACATGGGAGTTCAGCGACATAGCCATTAAGCTAACTGTTGGTCCCTCCCAGAAGTATTTCTTAATTCATTATAAAACCTAAAACCTTCTATGTGTTAACATAAGTACTACATTTTTTTTTAAATAAAAAATAACTATATTTAACTATATTTTCCGAACAAAATGGTAAGAAGGATGACCTCGATTTACATTCTTGCAAATCTAATTAATGTCTGGCTTAATAGTAGACATCTGGGTTCTGCATTTGTCTGTTGTGATATATTGTTTAGTTGAATTACAGGAAATTCAACTTACCCATGAGTTGTTGAAAGAGGTAGGTACATCATACATTTGGATACCAAGCAAAAATTCAGCAAGTGGTCATTCCTTGAAAGGTTAGTCATGTGGAATCTGAAACTATATCAAAGAATTTTTTATGCTGTTACATTAAAATTCATGGATTTTTTTTTTTTTGTACATTGAGTAAATCTTTTTCCACTTATTTTTTTTTTTTTTTTTTTAAGATTTTTGCCTTTGGGTGCTTGCACTCATTGGAAAGACAGAGAGAGACCCTGAGAAGGAAAGTGAGAAATTATCCCCTAAGAGAATGGCCACACTGCAGTCCCATCTACTCTATTCTCTTCCTGAGATTTTGGAGATGCATGCATATAGGCGAAACATGAGATTCAGGCCTCTGGATCTGGGACTTGAACCGTGATTGGCCATGTGGTAGTCCAGTGCCTTAACCACTATACCATCTGCTGCCCTTAACCCATGCATGTTTTTATAATATCATGAATTGATCATTTCTAAAATTTTGTTTTGCTGAGTTTTTCAGGTCTTTTGAATGCTGACATATTTTCATTATACAGTGTCAAAAAATTGCTTTTGTAAATATCACTTCTCATTTTATCACAGAAGTCTTTAAATATGGAGCTAAAGAGTTCACGGTGGCACATACAGTCATCACGTGTCCATTAGTAAAATTCTAATTTATACTTGAAAGTTCAAGTTTTATCATTTTCAACACATATTGTCAGTTGTTTTCCTTGAAGTAAAGCTCACTTTATACCACAGTTATTTGGTAGATTCCATCAGATTTCATACCTCAAGTATCATGCCATCTTTGAATACAGCTTGACTTCCTCCTTTCCGATCGAGATGCCTTTTGCTTTTTCTTGCCCTGTTGCATTAGCTAACACTTACTGTGCACATGTTGAACAGAAGCAGTAAGATCAGATATCTTCACTTTGTTTCCACTTGTAGGAGGAAAACATTCAATCTTTTTGCAGTGTTGTTAGCTGTAGGTTTTTGTAGATACCTTTTTCGAGTTGAGAAACTTTGATCCTGTTAGTTTGCTCAGCTTTTCTTTCAGAATGTATGTTAGATTTTATTTAAAACATTTTAAAATTCTCTTTTGGTTTATTTTCTTATTTCCCTCTTGGCTTATTCTCCTTGCAGGGTTTTCTATTCTCCTTTTGGTTTAGTTTTCTTTTGATTTGATCCATGGGTTATTTAGAAGTGCATTGTTTGGGGCCAGCAGGTGATGTGGTTAGGCACTAGATTCCCATGTGACCAGCAGTTTTGAGTCCTGGACCCGGTGACTTAAAAATTACACTGGGCAAGGAACCAGCAGTTAGCGTAATGGCTATGTCGCTGGATTCCCACGTAGTCGACTGTGGTTTGCGTCCCGGACCCGGTGGCTTAGAACTCACTCCGGGTGCGTGTGTGTGCGTGCCCAAGATCCCGAGAGGAGAATGGAGGAGAAGGGGTTGCAGCGTGGCCATCCCCCCTGGTGGGTGATTTCTCGCTTTCTGTCTCTATGTCTCTCTCTGTCTGTCTGGTGAGCGCACATGCCCTATAGCGAAAACCTCTCAAAAAAAAAAAAAATTACACTGGCCACGTGTGTGTGCATGCCCAAAATCCCAGGACATGGAGAAGAGATTGCAGCGTGGTCTTACTCTCTGGGGTGTGGTGGGGGGTGGGGGAATTTCTCACTTTTCCTCTTTCTGTGTTTCTTTGTATCTGATGAGTGCATGCACCCTATGGCAAAAGATTAAAAAAAAAGAAAGAAAGAAAAAAGGAAAAGAAGAAGTGTATTTTAAAATTTCAGATATTTGGATTTTTCCAAATATCTTAACCACTGTTGTTTTCTAATTTAATTCCAATGAGGTCTGAAAATATACTCTGTAAATTTCAGTCTTTTAAAATTTATTAATACATGTTTTATGGCTTCATCTACCTTGTGAATATCCCATTTGTATTTAAAGAGAATGTATATTCTGCAGTTATTGAAATAGTGTTTTAAAAATGTATGGACCAGGGGGCTGGCTGGTGGCATGGTGGTTAAGGCACTGGACTCCCTCATGGCCAACTGAAGTCCTAGCCTGGACCTGGCAGCTTGCTTTCTTACTTTCCCTCTCTCTATTTCTCTCTCCGTCTCTCTCTGGTCAAATTAAAAAATAATAATAATGAATAAAATAAAATAAAATAATTCTTTAAAAAAGTGTAAAAAAAAGTGTATGCATCAGGCAGTGGTACAGAAATCATGCAACTGGACTCCCATGGGAAAGGTCCTGGGTTCATGTCCTGAGACCTCCCTGAGCATGCTGGATCTGTATGTGTATACTTGTGATCTGGGCTGGCTAACATGGGGTGAATCAAGGCCCTTTCAGGGTTTTGTGCCTTTGTCTCTATCTCACGGAAGAGATAAATAAATATACTTTAAAGATAAAATAGAGAGTTCAGCATGTGGCATGGTGGGTAGGGCGCTGGACTCCAACATGGTGTATCCTGGTTCAAGTCCCAGACCCGGTGGCTTGCTTTTTCACTTTCTCTTTCTCTCTTGCTTTGTCTGGTGAGCACACATGCTGTGTAGAATTTGAAGAATAATGACAATGATAAATAAAATAAAATAAATAAATCTTTAAGAAAAGATCAAATAAATGTCACATAACTGACATTCAAGGTGGTTAATAGTGTTTAGATCACCTGTAATCCTGGATTTTAATTTTTTTGTTTTGTTTCATTTTCTATCAATTGCTATTAATTGCAGATTTTTGTGTGTGTCATCTGGTTTATTGT